TTACTATGGGGAGGGGGTTCTTTTGTTATGAACAAATGTTCATGGTTCAGAAACTGCTCTCTTACTAACACTTCCCCTAATATTAGTAAACCATTCCACCTTCTGTAAAATTTTTTTAAAAATCTAATTGTAATTTTAAAATGACTGACCTCATGTGTAGGTCTGAAACAGAATACAGGGAATGTATTTGCCACAAGAGATTCGATCTACATCTACTTGTTGCTGAATTATCAAGTCAACCCACCCATGGAAAATACATGATGCATCCTCTATTGAAACGGAGAGAATAATTTCTATGTTCACTGTAACAACAACAACAAAATTACATTTGCATGGCGCCTTTCACGTTGGGAGGAGGTCCCACTGGATTTTAATTAACAGATTATCACAGAGATGGCAGATTTTACAGTGTGTCTTTGATACACGAACTTGAACGGAAAAGAATAACCATTACAGGTAGTTGAGATGTTTCAAAGCGTTTCACAGAATATACTTTAAAGTAAACTGACTGTATATTTTGTGGGCATGATGATCCTTTGGCTCTAATGTGTTGACAGGACAGCTCTGTGCTGTGGGCTAAGGAAACTGACCCAAAACAGAAAGTCGATTTAGAAAGTATGTTTTGGTCGACAGTCAACCTGTTCCCTCTCCAATTAAGGGCAAGAAAGGCCTGGCATTTCCGTCAGTAGTAAAGCCATCAGGCTATCGTGCAACATCTAATTTGCTGTAGAATCCAAAACAAGTATCGCATGTGGCACTAACACACACCGCTGGGAGCCGTTCAAGTGATGTCTTGGAAAGCGGTACGGCAGCTGGTGGTGAAAGCTGCATGGAAGCAATCAACTGAGTAGACCTCATCCTGGCAAAGCACATTATACAATTGCGCACTGGAATGTGGATGGAGTACTCTCTCTCTCGTAACCATCCAACGCGAGTCAATTGGTAAAATGCGCTCCGAGACGCTACCCTGCATGGAGGGCACTCGATAAGTGCAAGTTGTTGTAAAAGGAATGGGAAAAGTATCGATAGAATATTGGAACCAGTGGGCGACAATCCCAGGGGAAGTAATGGGGACAACCGGAAAGGACTGCAGAGATTGCAGGGCAGCGTCAGAATGCAAACAGAGGTGAAGAGAGAGTAACGTTTTAATTGCTCAGTTTACCTCCTATGGATAAAGACTTGTAACCCAATTATCCCTTGGCTGCACTCACTGGGTTTATCCACATCTCTTGTCTCGAGCTTTTGAAATACAGCTACTTAAAGTGTCACTGAACATTGCACAAGTGAAACCCAGCGTTCGCCCCAACAAGTTTAGAATTACTTCACTCTGAAGGCTGCCCACACCCTCAACCGTTCAAAACAAGGGAAGGGATTTCTTGGATTAAACTTGTTATACAGCTCCCTGTCTTAAAACAGTTCCAACAAGCAAACCTCACCCGTCAGCAGCATTTAACCTTGCAGATGGATGCATGCAGTGTGTTATTGCAATAAGCTCAAAATCACCTTAAATTACTAGTTTTTTTCATTAAAAAACAACGCGGGGTTTTGATTTTTGCTTGTGATAACAGTTGGGTCAAGTCTTGCACTTCTGTCCTAAGAGGTTACCTGTTCACTTTGCGCAGTTGTCTCTCTAAAGAGGATCTCTTAACAGTCTGTGTACTCTCTCTCTCTCATTCCTTACTCTCTTTTATATATTTCTACGACTATCTACGACTGTTTGTGGGACATTGCTGTGCGCAATTGGCGGCCGCGTTCGCCCACAAATATACAGTCAATTCACTTTACAGTGTGTTCTGTGAAGCGCTTTGGGACGTCCTCTCGACGTGAACAGCGCTATATCAAATGCAAGGATTATTATTATTATTATTATTATTTCTCTCTTGCTCTCTCTCTCTCTGTCTGTGTTCTGCATCCTGCTTTCTCTCTATCCTCGTCTCTTTCTCTCTCTCCAACTTTTAATCTCTTCAGCAACAAGTGCTGATTTTTTTTTCCTTTGCTTTTTTTTTCCCCCTTCAGTTTATTCTTCTTTCTTTTTGCTGCCAAGATCTTCCTCTTTTCTGGGTTGGTGGTGTTTCTCTCTGGTTTCCCTGTTATCTCTCTCTTTATCCCGATCCTCTCTATCTCTCTGTGTTTTCTGTGTGTATGTGGTGCATGTACGTGTGAGTGTGTTCTCTCTGTGTGTGTGTGTGTGTGAGTGTGTTCTTTATGAGTGAAGTGCGCGTGTGTGCGTGTTCTGCGTATGTTCTCTATGTGTGTTCTCTGTGTGTGAGTATGTGAGTGTTTTTTCTGTGTGAGAGTATTCTCTCTGTGTTGTTTATGTGTGTTCTGTGTGTGAGTGTGTTCTCAGTGTGTGTGTGTGTGTTCTCAGTGTGTGTGTGTGTTCAGTGTGTGAGTGTGTTCTCAGTGTGAGTGTGTTCTCAGTGTGTGTGTGTGAATGTGTTCTCAGTGTGTGTGTGAGTGTGTTCTCAGTGTGTGTGTGTTCTCAGTGTGTGTGTGTGTGTGTGTTCTCAGTGTGTGTGTTCTCAGTGTGTGTGAGTGTGTTCTCAGTGTGTGTGAGTGTGTTCTCAGTGTGTGTGAGTGTGTTCTCAGTGTGTGAGTGTGTTCTCAGTGTGTGTGTGTTCTCAGTGTGTGTGTTCTCAGTGTGTGTGAGTGTGTTCTCAGTGTGTGAGTGTGTTCTCAGTGTGTGTGTGAGTGTGTTCAGTGTGTGTGTTCTCAGTGTGTGTGTGTTCTCAGTGTGTGTGTGTGTTCACAGTGTGTGTGTGTGTTCACAGTGTGTGTGTGTTCTCAGTGTGTGTGTGAGTGTGTTCTCAGTGTGTGTGTGTGTTCAGTGTGTGTGTTCTCAGTGTGTGTGTGTGTGTGTTCTCAGTGCGTGTGTGTGTTCTCAGTGTGTGTGTGTGTTCTCAGTGTGTGTTCTCAGTGTTTGTGTGTGTTCTCAGTGTGTGTGTGTGTGTTCTCAGTGTGTGTGTGTGTGTGTTCTCAGTGCGTGTGTGTGTTCTCAGTGTGTGTGTGTGTTCTCAGTGTGTGTGTGTTCTCAGTGTGTGTGTGTGTGTGTGTGAGTGTGTGTGTGTTCTCAGTGTGTGTGTGTGTGTTCTGTGTTTGTGTGTGTTCTCAGTGTGTGAGTGTGTTCTCAGTGTGTGTGAGTGTGTTCTCAGTGTGTGTGTGTTCTCAGTGTGTGAGTGTGTTCTCAGTGTGTGTGTGTATGTTCTCAGTGTGTGAGTGTATGTTCTCAGTGTGTGAGTGTGTTCTCAGTGTGTGTGTGTGTTCTCAGTGTGTGTGTTCTCAGTGTGTGTGTGTGTGTGTTCTCAATGTGTGTGTGTAAGTGTGTTCTCAGTGTGTGAGTGTGTTCTGTGTTTGTGTGTGTTCTCAGTGTGTGAGTGTGTTCTCAGTGTGTGTGAGTGTGTTCTCAGTGCGTGTGTATGTTCTCAGTGTGTGAGTGTGTTCTCAGTGTGTGAGTGTGTTCTCAGTGTGTGAGTGTGTTCTCAGTGTGTGTGTGTGTTCTCAGTGTGTGTGTGTTCTCAATGTGTGTGTGTAAGTGTGTTCTCAGTGTGTGTGTGTGCTCAATGTGTCTGTGTAAGTGTTCTGTGTGTGTAAGTGTGTTCTCTGTGTAAGTGTGTTCTCTGTGTGTGTAAGTGTGTTCTCCGTGTGTGAATGTGTTCTCTGTGTATGTGAGTGTGTTCTCAGTGCGTGTATGTGTGTGTGTGTGTTCTCAGTGTGTGTGTGTGAGTGTGTTCAGTGTGTGTGTTCTCAGTGTGTGTGTGTGTTCTCAGTGTGTGTGTGAGTGTGTTCAGTGTGTGTGTTCTCAGTGTGTGTGTGTGTTCTCAGTGTGTGAGTGTGTTCTCAGTGTGTGTGTGTGTTCTCAATGTGTCTGTGTAAGTGTGTTCTCTGTGTAAGTGTGTTCTCAATGTATGTGTGAGTGTGTGTGTTCTCAGAGTGTGTGTGTCTGTGAGTGTGTTCAGTGTGTGTGTTCTCAGTGTGTGTGTGTGTGTGTGTGTTGGTGGCCTCAGTGTGTGTGTGTGTTGGTGGCCTCAGTGTGTGTGTGTGTTCTCAGTCTGTGTGTGAGTGTGTGTGTGTGTTCTCAGTGTGTGTGTGTGTTCTCAGTGTGTGTGTGTTCTCAGTGTGTGAGTGTGTTCTCAGTGTGTGTGAGTGTGTGTTCTCAGTGTGTGAGTGTGTTCTCAGTGTGTGTGTGTGTGTGAGTGTGTTCTCAGTGTGTGTGTGAGTGTGTTCTGCTCTCAGCACTGCTCCAATCTCAGTGCGTGTCGTGTCTACACTGAGCTCCAACACTCACTCTCACACACACTCACTCACTCTCACACACACTCACTCTCACACACACTCACTCACTCTCACACACTCACTCTCACACACACTCACTCACTCTCACACACACTCACTCACTCTCACACACACTCACTCTCACACACACTCACTCACTCTCACACACTCACTCTCACAAACACTCACTCACTCTCACACTCACTCACTCTCACACACACTCACTCACTCTCACACACTCACTCTCTCTCTCTCTCTCTCACACACTCACTCCCTCACTCACACACTCACTCACTCTCACACACTCACTCTCTCTCTCACTCTCACACACTCACTCACTCTCACACTCACTCTCTCTCTCACTCTCACACTCACTCACACACTCACTCTCACACACACACTCTCACACACACTCACTCACTCTCACACTCACTCTCTCTCTCACTCTCACACACACTCACACGCACTCACTCTCACACACTCACTCACACTCTCACTCACTCACACACTCACTCACTCTCACACACTCACACACTCACTCACTCTCACACACTCACTCTCTCTCTCTCTCTCACACACTCACTCACTCTCACACACTCACTCTCTCTCTCACTCTCACACACACTCACACGCACTCACTCTCACACACTCACTCACACACTCACTCACTCTCACACTCTCTCTCTCACTCTCACACCAGCGCCCCCCAGTAGACCCCTCATTCCTACCATATCAGAGCGATCCTTCACTGCCGTCTCTTCTGCAGAGAAATCCACACTAGAAATGGCTAAACTTTACCAACTTATTGGGGAGCGCTTCCGCTTCCGCTGTACATGTGTTACCACCACAGAGCAGAACTTCCCAACTTTCCCCCTCTCCCTCCCCTCCTCCTCTCTCCCTCCCTCCTCCCCTCCTCTCCCTCTCTCCCCCTCCTCCTCCCTCTCCCCTCCTCCTCCCTCTCTCCTCCCCTCCTCCTCCTCCTCCTCCCTCTCCCTCCCTCCTCCTCCTCTCCCTCCCTCTCCCTCCTCCTCCCTCCTCCTCTCCCTCCCCCTCTCTCCCTCTCCCTCCCCTCCTCCTCCCCCTCCCTCTCCCTCATCCTCCCCCCCTCCCTCCCTCCTCTCCCCCCTCCCTCCCCTCCTCCTCCCTCCCTCCTCCTCCCTCTCCTCCCTCCTCCTCCCTCTCCCTCCCCTCCTCCCTCCCCTCCTCCTCCTCTCCCCTCCTCTCCCTCCTCCTCTCCCCCTCTCCCCCCCTCTCCTCCTCCTCCCCTCTTCCCCTCCACCTCCTCCCTCTCCCCTCCCTCCCCTCCACCTCATCCCGTCCCTCTCCTCCTCCCTCCCCTCCCTCCTCCCTCCCTCTCCCCCTCTCCCTCTCCCTCCCCCTCCTCCCTCTCCCTCCCGTCCTCCTCCCTCCCTTTCTCCTCCTCCTCCCTCTCCCTCCTCCTCCCCCTCCCTCTCCCTCCCTCTCCCCCTCTCCCTCCCCTCCAGCTCCCTCCCTCTCCCCCTCCTCCTCTCCCTTCCTCCTCCCTCCTGTCCCTCCTCCTCCTCTCCCTCCTCCTCCTCTCCCTCCCTCTCCCCCTCTCCCTCCCTCTCCCCCTCTCCCCTCCTCCCTCCCTCTCCCCCTCTCCCTCCCCTCCTCCTCCCTCTCCCTCCTCCTCCCCTCCCTCCTCCCTCCCTCTCCCCCTCCTCCTCCCTCCCTCTCCCCCTCTCCCTCCCCTCCTCCTACCCCTCCCCCTCCCTCCTCCTCCTCCTCCCTCCCCACTCCTCCCCATTCCCACCCTCCACCTCTCCCCTCCCCTCCTCCCCCTCTCCCCCCAGACTGTCATCAGCCACATTGCCTTCATTCCCAGCATTTATTCAGCAAAAATGATCAAGAAATACAATTGTATGGATATATATATATACATAGAGAGAAAACTCTTAATACAAATGATTTGCTATATATATAGAGAGAAAACTTTTAATACAAATGATCTGTTATATATATAGAGAGAGAAAACTCCTAATACAAATGATCTGTTATATATATAAAGAAAGAAAACTCTTAATACAAAAATGATTTGCTATATATAGAGAGAGAGAAAACTCTTAATACAAATGATCTGTTATATATATATAAAGAGAGAAAACTCTTAATACAAAAATGATTTGCTATATATAGAGAGAAAACTCTTAATACAAATGATTTGATATATATATAGAGAGAGAAAACTTTTAATAGAAAATGATTTTCTATATATAGAAAGAGAGAGAGAAAGAGAGAGAGAAACTCTTAATACAAATGATCTGCTGGAGAGAGAGAGAGAGAACTCTTATTACAAATGATCTCAACCTTCAGTGTTAATGAAATGACATTGCCCTGGGGGAAAAGACATGATCAGTTTTAAAATGAATCAATCAACAGATTCAGTTGCACAATCAATGGGGAAACCAAGGTAAAGGAGAAAGCTGACAATATATATATATATATATGTGTGTGTGTATATATGTATGTATGTGTGTGTGGTGTGTGTTAAACTTTGCCAGAACTCAAAATATTCTTTATTATTCCTTTTGCAAAAACAAAACCACACACATTTAGGTTTGTGTTGTTTTCAGATGGTGTTTTGGTGTACGGTTGCAATTTGCAGTCTATAGATGTGTGTTTGTGTGTGTGTGTGTGTGTTATGTATATGTATACACATATATATTTGCTTTACAGTGTGTTGCAGAGGATGCTGCATTGATATTATCTTTGGATTCACATCTGGTTTCCTCACTTGCATCAAAGTGCTTCCCAGAATGAAGGGAAGGACAGAGTTGGATGCTGGTAACTGTGGAGATCAGCCAGAGAGAACAATAAAGGTTTTGCTCAGGAGTCTAAACTTCTGTATTTTTTTTTTGCTCTCTCTCTTTCCCCCTAAACAACTTCAAACAGAAAAAAAAAACTTCAAACAGATGCTGTGCATAGTTTGACTCCACTTCCAAACTGTACCTTCGTCTTTCTTGGTGTTCATCTTGTTCCAGTTAATGGTGAAAATATTTATCCCCCCCCCACACTAAAAAAAAAGAAAAAGAAAGTTCCAAAGGCAAGTTTAAAAGAATTTAAACATCTGGCTGGCCAGCCATCTCCTTCTTCACCCTGGTGTGTGCAGTTTTTTTTTAAAAAAACATGGGATATATCATAAAAATGTATGTAAAAACATGCATAAATACAAACAATTTAGAAAGGACGACTTCATTGACAATCAACCAAGACACACAGCAATTTGCTAAACTCTTATACAAGTGTTTTCATGTGTAACTACATCTCGACCCTCTATTTTCATTGGCAAAAGTTTATTTGAGCACTGACTGGTCACAAGACAAAAATATAACTGAAACCTGATTGATATAAGTTTTCCACCAGCTCTCCTCCCCTCTCCCCCCCCACACTCTCCCTCTCTCTCTCTCTCTCTTTCCCTGAAATCACAAGCCTTGCAGCCAACATACCATTCAGTTCAACAGGGATTGTGGAAAGTGCTTACATGTTCACAGATCTTCAGGATTAACACTGAAAGTATTTAGTGACATGATATGTTGTTCCTAAGAACTGTTGTCACTGTTGGACATGCAGCAGAGTTTACACAGTTAACTGGATTACTGTCTGAGACACTAACCTGCTTGGAGGGCGTTATATAAATGCAAGTTGTTGTTGTTGTTGTTGTACAGTCTCCATGACCCTGCCAGTGAAAGTTACACGTTTGATGTTACATATGTTTGGTGGCAAATTGCACTAAGCGCCATCATCACCTTACAGTACCCGAAGCTCCATACAAACATCCTGAGCTTTATGTTCTTTAGGAACACTATTTCAAAAATCGGAACTTACACAAAAGGAGTTTTTATTTATCAGTTTATTGTAGTTTGGAGACGTGTTTGCAATGCTGTGCGTATCCCCGGAGCTACTGCTAAATATTTTAGAAAACATTTCCTAATGTTTTAGAAAACATTCTAAAAACATTAGTTTAGAAAACATGTGTATATATATATATATATATGGATACATGATTCACTAAGATGGACAGGGAAAATCACACCCATCCGTCCCACTTCAAAATCTATAGCAGCTTCTCAATTTTTGAATTCCCAAACTCATTTTAAATTGGTTCTCTTGAGTATTGTTAATTAATCACGTTAATACACTGCACACAAAAGGAATGGCCCTTTACTATAGCTTACAAGCATGATTTTCAAGTGTTCCAGTGGAATGGTTCACTTCTGCCTGAACAAAATGATCGGAGTTTCAAGGGATCATTATGACTGAATGAATTCACAACCTGTTACATTTATACTTCACACTGAGGAAGGTGACAGTCAACAAGATGCTCTTCGCTGAACCGCATACTTTCTTCGATTTAAGATGTGTGTCCAATATCATCTGCGTGTGTCTTTGTATAATAATAATAATAATCCTCGCATTTGATATAACACCTCATCTGGTCATTGAGGTTTCTCAAAGCACGTCACAGAAATTTACAGAATATTCACAGAAAGTGAATTGACTGTAATTTTGTGGGTGAAATGCAGCAGCCAATTGCATGCAGAAGTATCTCACAAACAGTTGTGTGGATTGAGTGACCCAATTTTTTTTTGTGGGATTATTAAACCCAGAAAGCGATCCGCCAATCGACCAACAACTGGGTTCCTATTTACTGCTAGGTAAACAGAGACGTATGGAGTAAGGAAACTTGCCTAAGGTTTCGCTCGGACCGGGGAATCGAACCCGGGTCCTCTCGCTAGTTTTCTAATCAGTACAATGCAGGACTCCACATGTCTTTGTTTTACATAGAAGATATGGTGTGGATCATTGCCTGGATGATCAGCAGATTCTACTGACAGCACTAGTAGCAAAACATATCCTGTTCGATAGGCACTTAACCCCACAGTACAAATGACCGATATGGTCAGTCAATTTGTAGGTAAGAAAAATAAATGTTTTTTAGAATTATCTACAAAGTCTAAAAGCCTTGAGAACTCTGTGCAAGTTGGAGCTGTGTCTTTTCAGAAGTCGATGAATATTGTATCATATCAGAGGATTGCCATTGGTACACTTGCTACAATTAGACTATCATCAGAAATGTTGATTAAACAGAGTTATGTCACACAGGAACTGGTAACACTTTTATTCACAGTAATCTCTAAGCTCCACTGCAAACAAATGGACCTATACAAGTTTCATGAATATAGACGGTGACCCCTGGTAGCACTCTCAACTCTACTGAATCGTGGGACGTTTAACTCATAATCTAGGCTGACCGTCTAATACAGTTATGGAGGAGGTTTGCATTGTTGGAGATACCGTCCTTTAAATGAAATTTTAAACCAAGTCTGCCTAGTCGAGTGGATAGTAAAGATGCCCTACTGTCTGAAAAGAAAAGGGCATTCCTCCCATCATCATCGGCCAACAACCCCACCCCAGATAAAATTAGTTATTCCCTTCGTGATTATTATTATTATTGCTGTATGTATGCAAATTGGCTACCATGTCTACCTACAAATACAGAGCCGTTCCCCTTTACAGTAAATCCTGTCGACGCTTTGTGATGTTTCAACATCATAATAAGGCGCAATATCAAATCAAGGATTATTGTTAAGTTAGTGCTGAGTAAAAGATTTCAATCCAGATGTCTTTGAAGTCCTTTAACCAGATCTTAATTGTAGCTGGTATAACCAGTCATTTGATTTTAAAAATATATACTTTTGCTGCAATTATATCCACCCAAACACTGATGCTTACCTTGGATATGCTTCTCTTGGTTCCAGGAAATATTCTTCCAATATTCCACTATTTAATAATTATACACAGAGGGAACTACAAGGTGTAGCAAATTCATGCATTGTCCTGCCTGCGAGGTTCATATTTAATGCATGCTGCTACTAGTCACTGAA